CATCCCCTGTGTAGTCAAAGTCAACACAGTTCCATATTTAACACCATTCCATTATACCCATGGTAAACACTAGCACCTGTATCATTTCTTCCCCTCTCCTGGTTCCACCAGAGAATACTGATCCCTAGACAACACTGAAATAATGGATCCCTGAATCCTGTCCATTTAACTTCTAGAAAGGTAAAAACCTTCTTGCCACTAGAAACCACTATTACTCTGGTTATGAAGTGGTCTTACAGATTTTCCAAGCTCTTAACCACTCCCAAAAGTTCCACAAAGTAAATGTTCCCGAATACAGGAAAGACACACACAAAAAGAGGAGGTCTTTATGTTCTAGGAAACATTGCAATAATGTGCTCATCTTTTGCCATGGCAAATGACAGACCAACACTGAGACTCTTTCTGTGACTTGATACATGTCATTTCTTATAGATAAAAGAAATCTTTAAGATTACATATAGATAACAAGATGTACAACAGGTAACAAGAGCCATCTTCAAGATTCATGGCAGCATGCGACCAGGCTTGCATTCTAAGTTGTCAAAGAAGAGCCCTAGCCCTCAATTACATGTTGAACTTTGCCAGGTCTGAGCTGTGCTGGAGTGGCTGCATTTATCTAAGAGGAGGTTCGTATGTTACAAACATAAAATCTGACAGGCTTGTGTGCTGCAAAGTTAGGTTCTGCATCTCTTCAGTGTCTCCACAACCACCTGGAAATTAGTTGCATTTGGTATTTTTATTGCACAACTGATTTGCCCTCCTATATCACAAACCTGTATCTTCATGCCCTGACCTGTGAAAATGACTGTTCTCTGTCAGCTATGCCTTATGGCTTCTCTTGCCTGCAGGCTGGGTCCTTGCATCACTTGGAGCTGACCATTGTCAATTTCCATTTTTCCAAGATTATGATTTGCCATTACCTCTGAGGGAAAAAAAAAAAAAAACCAAAAAAAAAACCACTAACTGCTGTCTATAATTTTAATTCACTTGCAATTGTTTTCTGTATTTGCTAAATCTTCTTTTTCCCATCCTCACAGCATTTTAGGATATACTGACATTTGAAGTAGAGCTGTTAAGGCCTTACTCAGCCTGGCCTGCATCTTGCATAAATTGCTGTTAATTTTCAAAAATGTTACTACTGTCCCAATAGAGCATTAAATGTCACTGTGAATAATACTTCATGCCAGAAGGAAAAGCCTTGAGTCTTTCCTTGCTTGTCAATCAGTTGGGAAGGACTTTTAGATAGTCTGAATGATGACCCAAACAGGGCACACTGTCCATTCACTTTCTGCCTTGGTTCCTCCTTGCTAGTCCACCCTGCCGGAGCTGTAGAGCCATCAGGCTGAGGGAGCACACACATTTTGTATTTACAAACCCTTCGGCTGTGTTGTGCTGCCTTCACAGCTGTGCAGTTGCACCAGCCAAAATGCCCTTACAGCTCCCAAACACTGCAGACCAAAGTCACCCTATTTCTCACAGGGCTTTGCCTTCAGCACATTCTCTGTGTGGCTGCATGGAGGATGGCACTCAATAGGCACAGCAGAATCTGTGCTGTGCCACTTTAAACAGGGGCACACCAATCTGTCTTTGGCCCACAGATCTGCCTATTCCTTAGTAGGGCTGCACTTCCAGACTGCTGTCTGGTGCGTGCCACACTTGTCCTCCATTCCCCCACCTCTCATCCCAGCTGAGGCATTTGCATCCAGGTATTGCCACCCAGAAGCTGTGCCCATCATCTGCAGCTCTGCCTCCTGCATGCTCCTCCTCCCCACTTCTCCATCAGCCCCCACCTGGAGGGCCGGTCTCTTCCCAAGGCAGGTCTGACACATTTGGTTAGTCGGATGGCAGAATCCCTTTACATATTTCTGAAAAGGCTCCCTCTGAATGATTTATATGATTGCATGGTGAGCAAGAACCACAGCCACCAAATGTGATGGAAACAAATCCCAGCCCTGCTTTACCCACCTGCCATTGTTCCTGTTCATGCTGCAGGCTTCCTTAAGAGCCAACCCTTGGTCCCATAGCAGAACTACTGGAAATCTAAGTACAGACTGGAAGTGTGAGATTGTTGAGAAAATTAGCCAAAAACAAAATTTAGATCTATGGCTAAATTAATCCCCAGATTAATGCTATCAAAGCAAACGGTGTTTATAGAAAGTCTTGTTTTCTTTATATTCATGTGAGAGAAAATCAAAAGAATGCTAGAGGCAAATTTCGTCTAGCAGAATTGGAAAAGAGAGCATGGGGACAAAGCTGTAATTACTGGTATTTCCTATCTGTTGAAACCTGTGGGTGCAAAGAGAGTCAGTGAATAGGGTATATTCAATGGCATTAAAATTAGTTTCTTTTTCTGGACTTTAGCTCAACACTGCAAATTAGCAGGGGGAAAATAAGCCTCAGAGTGAGCAGGCAGAGAAGCCAACTTCGTGTTACCCTTTGCTGTTAAGGAAAAAAAAAGGCATTTTTTTCCTTCAAGAATTCAAATTCCTAGCAACCCACAGTACAGCTGCACACTGACAAGCAGGAAATGTGCTGTGTTTCTCACATGGTTCAGTGTTTGTGTGTCCATGTACACACCATTAGCCTGTTTTCCTTTTAAACATATTACTTTAATGAAGAGAGGACACGCTTGCTGTTTAATTAACTGTTGCTTTATAAAGAAGACATTCTGCCATGATTCATCATGGTACAGCTTGGGTACCTGCAGAAGTATCTGACTTTAGATCATTCTGTATCCAGTCAGTGGCAGGGTTGAGACCCTCCCAGCCATGGTTTGGACCACCAGAGATCAGAACTGGCAATGCTAGGCACCCATCTCTTTCTGCAAACCATTGCAGGTACTTAGGATAGCTGTACTCCTAAGTCAGACTTTCACAGAACCAGGAAAGATTATCTGAGGCTTCAACATATTTCTACTTATGACTCTCATCCCACATGCAAATTTCTTCTCTAAGCAATAGCTGTTACTGAATTAGCTCTACTCTATTTTGTCGCTGAATTAGCTGTTACTGAATAGGCATTACTGATGTCTACAGAAAAAAAAGGACAGGTAAAGGATGTTTTTCTTACAGTTAAAAAATCTACCTTGCAGTTTGTGATCGCTGCATAGACCTGAGTTATTTCAAATAAGTCCTGTGTCATAAAATGTTTACTTAGTTCCTATTTTTCTTCACAACACTTAATAAATTTAATAGTTTGAGACTGCATTTTCTTTAAAGATTTAAAAGTATAACTGGAAACTACAGAGATGTAACTATAATTAGAAGTGATATATTATTAATAGTAGAAATATAATAATATTGATGTTGGTGTTGGGGTGCAGTAGGATTGCTTGTTTTCTCAGTACAGAAAAAAAATTAACTTGAAGCACCAACCCTTGAGCATCTGTCACTACCATTCTTCAAACCTACCTGAAATATTGCAAATTATAGTAGGAAAATTTACTTTAAATAAAATAATTGTTTATACTATTATGTTTTCAATGGCTTTAATGCAGCCTGCTCTTATATGCAAGAATATTGATTTGTGTTAGATTACTATTTAAGGTGGATTTTTATCTTAATTATTCCAAAACATGATTTAGTATTTAATTAATACTGCTTCAGTTTAGCTAGATATGCCACTGGAGCGACACATTTCCTAAATATTTTTGTAAATGGGTTTTATTTTCACTTTACTTGCTGGACTCCTCTATTTAATAATTATCAAGCCTCAAATGAAAACTAGAAAAAGGGTTGTTCTCCTGTGCATTTCTCTCACTGCTCATGCACACGTGCTGCTGTGGACTGTACCTTGCTCTGGGTTAGCCTGGCTCACTGTCAAGCCCAAGGCCAGCCTGTGATCCCGTATGGATTGCAGGAGGACATTAAAAGGGTGTGCAGTGCTTCTCAGAGCCACCCCATGCAATGCTGGGGCTCAGCTCTGAGTTCTTCAGGGAAGTCATTGCACCTTTGTATTTAGATTTTTGGGTTTGTTTTTTAGGTTTGGTTTTTTTTATGTGCCAAACTACTGTTAGAATTGCAAATAAGATTTTTTTTGTCTGTTGAACTTCAGCATGTCTTAATGCAGTGTTTTATCTTCCAAATTCTACCTCAGAGACACGTGGGGATTAGAGATCTAAGGGAACAAGTCAGGTTTGGCACTATTTAAAGCATATGTCTTCTGTTTAAGATTTAACTATGATTCATAGTTAATTGTTTTAAACTTGTCACCACGGTGCCAACAAAAATCCTTAGGAATACAAAGTGACTTTTGAAACCTGTCCTGACTCTCAGATCGCCACCGCTGAGGCACACAGAGTAGCTCTGCATCCATTTGGGGAAATTCCCTATATGTGGTGCTCCAGTGGGCTTTACCTTGGCTCCAGAGGAGATTTAGGCAATAATATTGTGCCACCCACTTGGCTATTTCAGCTTTCATCCCAGTCCCTGGCTCTCAGCACAGGCCCAGCCTGTCTTTAGCACTGATGGAGAGGTGCAGCAGCAGCAGCACAACCTCAGCAAACCCCTGAGTCCAGAAAACTTCCCTCCACCCCCACAAACACCCACTGCTGGTTGCTGACAAAGGGAACTTCTGGCTTTTCCTCTGTCTGCAGGCAGTTTCCCACTGGCCCTGTGGCACAGCCCTGCTGGATGGTGATGCCAGAGGTGGGGAACAGAGCCACCCCCAGTGTGGGGTGTGCCAGCCCCTCTCCCCAGCTGGCACACACGGCCTCAGTGCTCTTGGCCCTCGGTGTTTGCCAGCTAGAGAGGCTGAAACAGGCCAGCTGCACCCTGGGCTTCTCTCTCTCTCTCTTTTTGCCTCCCCTTTGGAGAGCTTGCTGCCCTTCACATTTCTTTAAATGCACTTGCCCTGTCTCGATGAGCTTGTCTCCTAAAACTTCTTCAGGATTTCTGAGGGAGATGATGTTTCCTGGCAAACAGATGTGTTTGTAAACAGCAAGACAGGGCAACTACAATTTCCAAAGGTGTCTCAGGAAGTTCATATTCTCTCTTTTCCAGGGAGCGTTTACTTTCCGCGGGAGCATGATCGACATGCCATTACTGAAGCAAGCACAGAACATTGTTACACTTGCCACAGCCATCAAGAAAAAATGAGCTGGTAAATGAAGCTCTCGCCATGGGGCCCCAGTAGCTGTTTTAAAAGATGACTATAATACTTTGGGGAGGGGAAGGGGGGTGTAAAATTGAAGACGTCAGGCCTAAACAGAAATTCATTTCCATTTTGCAGATCTGTCATAGTTTGCTTGCTGGAATTGCTAATTGCTAAAACTATTCCCAACTCAAACCACTGCTCACTGCTGCATGGCCCATGTTCTACTCATAGCCTGCAATGAAGTTACATCATCAAATCTGTGACATCGCAGTAATTACTGCAAATGTGGGAGTATGACTTCACTGAAGGAGAAAGGCAAAACATGAGCCCTGAGCTCTGTTAAAGAGCAGATGGAAACTAATTTAATTCTTTCTATTTCTTTCTGTGATTCTTCCTGCCCTGATGCAGAACTCCTGGCAGAAAGGAGAAAGCCTTGAATAATTACGCACCAGTTGAAATAACTGCGATGAAAATCTTTACCCTGTGTGAGCTTTGCTTTCCCCCCACACTGCCCTTCTGTAAGTGTGCAACAGCCATTAAAAATAATGCTCCAACAATGCAGGACTCTTGACTTTCTTCTCCCTTTTTTTAAGCAGTCTCTATTCAGAGAGTTTCCTCCTGGAAGCGTCCAGCCCGGGAAGGGTTGGACGGCAATAAACTTGTAGTTTTTGGAGACACAATGCAGCAGAACTTGTGCATATGGTCTCGAGTCAGATTTACATCACATTAGGGATACGGCTACAGATCATGTGGGCTGTGTGGTTAACGGGCTTAGTAAAGCTGTTTTGAAGAGGTTAACCCAGCTTGTAGTAAGGGTAAATAAACATAACAACCAGGCATTGTCCTCTATTCAGCATGTACTCTTATATGGAGGGCTAAAGGGTATTGAAGCTGCAGAGGATCAACTTGTGGTTGCCAGAGGACTCCAATGAAGTTTGAAACACCAACAATCAGAGATTTTGTTTCTGTTCCTCATTAAATCATGAGCTTTTGTGCTCAGACTATGAACGACTGTTCTTTAAGAAATTAACAGAATGGGAAGTTTTAAACTATGCACCAACCTTTTCATGACCTACACAGCAGCAATGCTGCTGCACTTAGACAAACACCGCGGGGAAGGCTGTTCTGTTTATTTAAAATTGTAAATAGAAAACAGTTGTTTTTTAGTTTCATTTCTCACCGCCTCCATGGCCATTTCACGTATGGAGCCTCAGTGCCTTATTCCTCCGTTTCCCCGCTTAGTGTGTTTCCCCTCCGTCTCCGAACAGCGCTTTCACTTATTTTGGGTTCTTTTCGGTTTAATTAAGGGGAAAGGAAAAGGGGGGGAGGGAGAACCCCACCATCCGGCCCGTGGGAGCAGCGAGGGAAGGGAGCGCGGGGGCGGCGGGAGCGCCTCTCGGCGGCTCCCCCGGGAATGGCGGGGCCGGGCCGGGCCGGGAGCGGGAGCGGGAGCGGGAGCGGGAGCAGGAGCGGAAGCAGGAGCGGGGCCGGGAGCGGGAGCGGGAGCGGAGCGGGGCCGGGCCGGGAGCGGGAGCGGGGCCGGGAGCGGGAGGGGGAGCGGGACCGGGCCGGGCCGGGAGCGCCGCTCAGCCCCGTCCTGCCCCGCCGGGGCAGCCCCGGAGAGCCCCGCAGCCCCTGGCGGCGTTGGGGATGAGCAGCCAGGGCCGATCCCCCTCTCCCCCTCCGCCGCCCGGGTCCCGTCCCAGGCGCTGCCGGGGCATCCCTTACAGCGCGGGGACCTCCGGGCTAATCTGATTAATTAAAGACTACCTGCTTATAGAGCAGCTCCCCCCCATCCCCGCGCGTTTCAGGACACCCTCCGTTATTAATTCCAGGCTGGCTAAATTACGGGCAGCGCTATTAAAACATTATCAGAACTAATGAGAAACAATTACTTAGGAGATGAGCTGGGACGAGCCGCGGCCGGGCACGCGTGTCGCTCTCCCCGCAGATTGCGTTAATAAATCATCAGGTGCACGGCAAGGCGGCGGCGGGGCCTGGCGCGGGGCACGGAGAATAAGATATACGAGATAAGGGTTGTTTGGGGTTGGTTTTTTCTTTGGTGTGAGTTGGGTTTTTTTCCTTTTTTTGGGGGGGGGGGGGCATAATTTTTACATTAATCTCAGTAGGACGTGTGTGGTGTGGATGGTTTTATTCCCTTAATACCGCGCAGGAAGAGGGAGCGGGGGGGAGGGAGGAGTAGGATGAGGACCATTTCAAAAGCGAATGTCTTCATTGTTTTAGCGGAGTCTGAGCGCCCGGCTGAGCAGCCCGCGGGAGCTGCCCGGACCCGCACCCGCCCGGCGCATCCTCCCCCCGCAAACAGAAGGGATGGGAATGCACTCTGGGAATACACTCTGGGAATACACTCTGGGAATACAATCTGGGAATACACTCTCCCGAGGTGTTTACGCGCCCCCTCCCTCCTCCGCAGCTCACTGCTGAAGGAACTTTCTGACCCGCACGCGGAGAAACCGCATATGCAAATAAAATGCTGGATATATTCCGATTTTTCCTTAAATTTCCCGGATACCCTCCCCTCCAGCGGAAAATCCCGCTTCCTTTTAACAGCCTTAACGATTTTTGCTTTATGAAAAATAAAATCCGATTTATTTGGCTTTTCCGTTTACTTTCGGAAGCTTTCCGTGATTTTCCGGCTTTATTCTTCTCCTCTTTCTTTCTTTTTCTTTCTCTCTTTTTCTTTCCCGCCTGGTGCTAGGCAAGCAATTGATGAAACAAAACAGATTATAAGATTAGCAGCAGGATTTTGTGCATATTAATGATAGGGAAGGGCACCGAATGGGTTTGTAATTGCAGATCTTGCGCTTGGGATTGGGAACTGTAGCCCTGCTACAGCAAAGACCCCCCTGTGAGGTTTTCACATTGGAACTTAGGGGAAAAGTGAAAAAGTAATTACCAGAGCACAACACTGAAATGTTAAAGCACTTATTCTTTCTTTCAGCGTTCTGTTTTAAAGGGGGAAAACGGGCAAAATGGAAAATAAATTGCTTTCAAATAAGTAGGTTAGCACCTGAATGCTGGTGTGCATTTTCCCGGCTTTTTTTTTTTTTCCTTCTTCTTCTCCTTTTTTTTTTTTTTTTTTTTTCCGAATTCTAGCAATTATTTAGCCGGGCATTGCCGACCATCCAAGCAGCAGAAAAGGGGGAAGGGAGGGCAGGGAGACCTCGGGAACACAGGGGTACTGCGCCTGTGAGGTTTGAAGCAAATATCTCCAGGAAAACTCTTCAAAGATCCCATTGGAAATTTAGTGGGATTTTTCTGGGGCGTTGTTGGTTTGGTTTTTTTTTTTTTCTTTTGCTTGGTTTTGGTTTGGCGGGGGTTTTTTTGTTTTGAAATCGGGACTTAAAAGGAAAAAGGATTGTTTTGGTTTTCTCTTCGACACGAACATCAAACGGTATTTTAGCAGGGGATGCGTTTCACAACCACAAATCCCTTACAGGAACGGCGTATTCCTCGCAATATCGACAAGTAACCTGACACTGAATTTTAGCTCTTATTAAGGGTTTCCCCTTGTTTCTTAAGCTGCTTCAGCCGCCTCTGAGCTTACTCTTCCTAAACTCCGGATTTTTGCGTTTCAAACCCAGCGCTCCTTCACTGACTTCTCTAATCCTTCTCTCCCGTGATTAACGGCCAGAGATGGTTTAGCTTTAATGGCACCCACTCGCGCTTATTGTTTTAATTCTGTTTTCAACGGAAAATCAATGTATCTGGTGGAAATTAGGCTTTGAAAACTTTTTTTTTACGAGCCAATAAAACGGAGAATCTGCTCCTCGGGCAGTAATTCCTGATTTTGAATTGGAGAAGGAGGGGGGGTCGGGAGGGGGGAAACCAACTTTGACTGCATTTCAGCCATCCCATCCCATCCCATCCCTCCAACCCTCTTCTCCCACTGTCACCTCCCTCGGGTTCAGAGCACGGCACAGTCCCGAGGCAGGGCTAGTTTATAACAACTGATATAAAGGTTAAAAAGCGGGAAGAAGGGAATGAAAGCTCGTGCGGACAAGTCCATGATCCTCTATTTTCCCCATCGCTGTGGCTGGGGAGTGTGCGCTCGGCGGGGGGAGCCCCGGGGAGCAGCGCCGGCGGGACGGGGGGGAGCATGCGGGCGGCTTTGGGGTGCTCGGGCGGCTTTGGGGTGCTGGCACTTGTACCCGCAGACGGGAGGAGTGTCCTGCCCGCCCGGAGCTGAGAAGCGGCAGCGGGAACTCCCGGAGCGCTCCGCCGCGCCGCGGGACCGCCGGGATGCGGCCCGGGACAGAGCGTGGGACGGACGGACGGACGGATGGATAAATGGATGGTCAGTCCGCAGGGACGAGAATTGTGCCATGACTTCCTGGGCTGCTGCCAGGAGCGCTGGACACAGAGGAGGAAGGGAAGGGGAAGGAAGGCAGAAGGAGGAGGAGGTGATTTAATCACATTCATTACTCTGCCGAAAAAACGGCTCCTCCAGCCACCCTCAGAGCCACAGCATCCCTTCAGTGGGGACCAGGGTGCCCGTGGAAAGGACACCTGCAGAGTGGTGCACACACTCACACACGCACACACACACACACACTCACACACGCACACACACTCACACACGCGCACACGCACACACACACACACACACACACTCTCACACACTCACACACGCACACGCACACGCACTCACACTCACACACTCACACGCACACACACACTCACACACACACACGTGCACACGCACACACTCGCGCACACACTCACACACACTCGCACACACACACACTCACACACACACACTCACACACACACTCACACATACACACACACTCACACACACACTCTCACACACACACACTCACACACACACACACACACATACACACACACAAACTCCAGCGTGGCACCAACGGTGCCTGCAAGGGACAGCACAGAAATTCGTGCTCTCCATTTCCATCACCCCTTTCCTCCCCCTCACCATCCCCACTTGGGTCCCTCGTGATGTTCCTCAAACCTCCCTTTGCCTCCCAGCCCTGGGTGTCCCTCAGTGGGAACTGAACGGGGCTTTCCTGCTCACCCTGGGGCGCAGGGAATGGGATGCACAGTGGAAATATCCTGCTTATGCCCCTTACTTCAAGCAGAGGAGAGATCAGACAGCCTCGCTGTGTTTCGGGTTATTGCTTCCCCAATTCATTCTGAAGTTCCCAAAATGTGATATCAAAGCCAGTACCGTAAGGTGATGCTCAGAATGATGTCTTTAGAAGTGCAAGAGGCCCTGTCTCTAAGGCTGCTGTAGGTGCCCACTGCCTGCTGGCAACATTTGAAACTGATCATCCTGATGAGAATGAGGAGCAATAAATGCCTATGCCACCTTCTTGGGCCTCTTTAATTTAAAGTGCAACTCCATGTAGCTTTGGATCTTCTGTTTACAATTTTGTTCCTACTTCTTCTAGTGCTGCTAATGGTATTAAAGCTGTGCTGTCAAACACAAACACCAGTTAAGAATTTTCTGAGCTGAAGCTTGCTGAAGGTAAAAGCCTTGTCTCTGTGCGACACATGCCTGCAATAACCTAGAATTTATGGCAGATGTTCATGCTGCTGGGAAGACCTACTCTAGGCTTCCAGATAGCTGACTTCCTTCCTGGCCTGCTTTTGCAGTAGTCCCTAGTACATTAAGTAGTGTTTGTGCTTCTCTGTTGCTCTATGGGATGCCAGTGGAAGTGGTTTATGTTAACTCTCCATGTCCTGCTCTCCCTTAAAATGTAGCTTAGATACAGTCAGTAGTGCATGTATGTCTGCAAATCTGACCATCACTGACAGCTCTGCCTCCAGACTTGTCACCAAGAGGCCTCTGCTTGAGCAACACAGAATTAAACACTTGCAAAATGAGAGGGAAACCAGGGCAGTGGAGGTGAAAGAGCTGCCT